CTTTTGGTCATATGGCATTTTCCTGGCTTCATATCACTTTGCCTTTTTTCAGCAGAGTAAGTAGCATCAAGTAGTGTATGTGCAGTCCTGTATTTATATTTGTGTTTCTAGTATATGTGTATTTAAACTACCCATGAGATTTTTAATGCCTCCAGAAGCCATTTATTAAAACTTCTTCTGGTAATTGATTCCATTATAAGTGGAAATGTTCACACTTCATGCTACTTTAGCCCTGTAAATGTCACTGAAAAAGCCAGTGAAAACCAAAAGTACAAATATATGTCGTATGTTTATTTGGGTACTAGTAACAGATGTGAACTTATTCATTATTTTCAGACTGTTAAGCTGAAAGACTTGAAAACCAAAATTGGGAGTGGACCCTGTATGTGACAGAGAGAATAAGAGCAAGAGAGCAGATAGGGAAAAGATTTTTAGGAAATACTTTTGTCAGTAGCTTAATGAACATATATGTTATGAATTTTTTAAAAAAAGGTTTAAAATGGGGTTTGTCATGAGAAAAACAAAAGGATGTTTTGGAACAGAAGGCACAGAAAAGAAAATGAAGGCTTGGTATCTAAGGGCATGGCTATACAGCAGGGCTAAAGTCGAATTAAGCCACACAACTTGAGCTACGTCAATTGTGTAGCTTAAGTCAAAATAGCTTAACTTGGCTTTTGGCGCTGTCTACACAGCAAGAAGTCAAAGGAAGAACACTCCTTTGAGTCTGAGTAAGAAGTCCTCCAGTTTGACATTATTTGGAAATAAAAGCTTGTAGTATAGATGTGCATTATGTTATCTCGGAATAACATTAGTTATTCCAAAATAACACTTCTGTGTAGACTTACCTTTTCAGAGAAATTAGTTAGGGATGAGTAGCTCAGAGGAGAGGGTGGGACAGTATACACATCTCGATTATGTCTTACTGAATGACAAGGGAAAAATATCATTAAATGCATTACTAGTTGTACTGGATTATTTTTAGCTCAGTTGTAAGCAGAAACCATGCCATGAATACAAGAGCTAAGAAAGAGAAAGTGTCCTGGAGTTATGGGAGAGGCTAGTTCTGGGGCTATAGACAGATCTAGGAGTTAAGTCTGTCCTGATCCAAAGCCTCCTAAAGGTTTTGGAAAGATTCCCACAGGCTTCAATAGACTTTACATTAGGCTTCTAAAGAGAGAGAATTTAGTAAAGTAAGGAAATATGAAAGAGAATCACTAAAATAATTTGTAATCACTTAAGATCTTTTTCCATCTAAGAGTACTGTTGATATTTATTTTTTTCATGATACATGTCTAACTATATTTGAATTCACAATGGATCTGTGGCTGTTGCAACTGAAATATCAATATTCATACTTAAATTGGAGCAATACGCATACTTGAATCCCTTAAACTGGAGCAGAGGTCAGCCCATTATATTTACAAACCTACTTTTGGAACTCAAAGACAACATTTCTGATAATTCTTAAATTGATTGAAAAAGAAAATACCTTGATATAGCTGTGATGATCACTGAGGAATTGTTGGGTTTTCTTACATTCAAATAAATGAAAGTCAGGCACCTTAATGTCTGAACAGTCTAGTATTAATGGATAAGGATCAAATTGAGCTGAGAAATATGTGCATTAAAATGGAAGTAGGGGTTATGGTGTAATGACAGAAGAACTCCTGATAGCTGGACATAAAACATACCAATGAAAATTATTGTAACACTAAAGTGGTCCCTTAAAATCCCAGTCACTCGGTGTTAACTCATCTGTGTAGCAAAAATTGCACTGTACCATTGATACTTCTATGCACAGGAATAGTTGGCCCAGTACAAAGGTATGCAATGCTGCTTACATTTTTGAGTAATTTGCTGTATGATTAGAGCTGCTCTAGTTCATTTTGATGGTCCCCTGCAAGTGGGGTATTAATTTCTTACCAATGAGAAAGGGTTGGTTGGTTGGTTTGGTTTTTTTATGCCATAATCTTAGCCATACACATGGCACTATAATGTATTTCAGTGATAGGCCCCATATAAATGTTTATTAAATTAAATATATACTTGAGTGCACATTGTACTCCTCTGATTATTAAACTGTACTTTTAAAAAGAGAAGCTAAGTGAAATATTTCTTAATTTCTTCCATGATTAGTTTATGGAATGTGGATAGGGATCCAGGAGCTGCATACGGCTTCCTGTGCCTGACACTCTCCACTTAATCTGAGTGCAGTGGAGAACTGGATTATTTCATGGTATCCTGACCCCACTAACGTCAATAGAAGCTCTGACATTAACGTCAATAGGGAGAAATATATTGCCTAGATATGTGTTTTTCAGTTGCTATCCAAAATGTATGACCCAAGAATAGTGACTTACAACTTCCATCACTGGCACAAGGTTTAAGGATGAGACACGGTGACTCCAGCAGGTTTCCTCTCACCCTCCAGAATATTCCTGACATGTTTCTCATTTTCCTTATATCAGGAACAAGAGGCAGCTGCCATAGCGAGCTATGGAGGTGCCTCCTTCAGACTTCCACTGATGGGGGGCTCCTCTGCACAAAGAAAATTATCCACTAGGTATCCCTGGACATTTTAAGGCCACTTTGTACTATTTAGCAAAATTGGAAAATCTCACCTCAGAAATGTTTGTTGGATTTTTGTTTGTTGTGCATCTCTAGCTTTTTAAAGGGATTGTTGCTGCAAGTGGATTATATATGGTACTGGTAGAGAAATCAAATCAGTGGTAAGAGAGATCAGCTTTAATGTAAATTAACATACTAGGATGCACTTGTTTATACTAGGAGTGAATCTGGTCTTTTCCATGTCTTACTGATATTGACTACCCTGTGTTTGTGTATCTCTTAATCTTCTGTTAACTTTGTGTCACTATGAACTGTTGTAATTTCCTCCTAGAAGAAATAAGGCACAAGTGAAGTTTATTTTAGAATATAATAAGAATGGATGAAAAGATTTATAAGACTTGCAGGAACAGAAAAAGCAGCATTTTAATTAATCTTAAGGTTGATGCAGACAAATCTACATTTAAATGTCAGTTTATACATTTTTTTAACTTTTCAGTCTATCAATAAGAAATTCTTTAAAATACATAATACTGAGTCACAGAGAATGAACTGGGAAAACTAATTTAGCAATGTGTGTCTAGTTGTTTGTACAGTACATAAGCTAAATAACTAACCTTTTATTGCTCCCTCTGAGCTGCATACTGTAATTGAGTCTGGGCTAGATGGGTTGGAAATTAGATTTTCCCCTATATATTCTCAAACATAAATTCCAAGAGCCTCTGCAAAATAAATAAATAAATTGAGGAAAGGTTTTATTTTGTGAAAAGGAAAGGAATTTGATTGCAATTATATCTCTACATAACAAGCTTTATTTTCTCACTTTATTTTAGTGCAGGCAGTATGTGAGTTTGGTCCTTTTGGCATTGTATACCTCTCCCTTCACTCTTCTCATAGAAATCAGGCTGCACTTTTGCAGCTTTGTGTATCATTTCAAACAACACATTTGGAAAGGCTTATTTTTAGTAGCCATAATGCTGATGAAACATAAAGAACATTACTTCTAAACCAGGTTAATCCTAAAACGATGAGAAGAACATTTTTTGCAATTACTGAGATTATATGTATGCATTAGGGGGAAGATATGTGTGGCACAATACTCACAGTACAGTAATTCTAATACTGCCAGTAAAATTACTTTATGTACCCATGAGTGAGTCACAAAAAAATGAAGCATGTACTGTGATTAAAGTTGCAATGTTATTGTCAAATTAATAGTGTTTATTTAATAAATGATATTGCACAATATTTATGCTATGTATCTATCTCTGCATGCATGAGTATAAATAAATTACACACAAAAACTGCATAAAAGAACATTATTAAGTTACATAGCCAAGCACTAAATTAATAAATGCTGAATTAAGGCTGCCTCAGTAATCTTAATTTGGCACCCTTGAGAATATGTGGCATGTTAGTCCTCAATTACATATTCACATACTGTGGATTTTTTTTGTTTTTGTTTTTGTTTTTAACTAAAGGACCCCTGCCTTCTTTACTGTGCAGGATGGATGGTGCATACTTAATAAGCAGCTGATTGAACAATGAGAAAAAACAGAATATTAGTGTATGGTCCTGCATCTTACTTACCACCTGCTATTCAAATCTATTTTATGTGAAGACAGAATTAGAGATTTCTTTGTGTGTTTGTCTATGATCTTCATCCACAAACTATTTGACTGCCTTGTAAACATTAATTATTTTCTCTTCATGACACCCCCATGAAATGAGGGGTGGTTTTATCCCCATTTTACAGAGGAGGAACTGAGGCACAGAGAGCTTACTCAGTTGTATCCACTGATTTTGAGTGACTAATTTGAGATACCTAGGCCATTCAGAATACTTAGTATTATTTAGGAACTGCATGTATTCCAGAACATCTTTCATTGCTTTCAATTGAAATTGTGAGTTCTCAGCATTTACATGATTTTTTGGATTCTAGGGTATCAAATTGGGCACCCCAAAAAAGTGAAGAACACACAGTGCACTTGTGAAAAAAAATTAAGTGAATTGTCTAGCACCACATAAGAACGGTGAGACAAATACAGAGATAGATTCCAGTTTTGTTCAACAGCATTCTTAACCATGAGAACTTCCCTTCTCTTCCTCATTCATTTACTTCTGCAAGAAATGAATCAGGGATTATAAAGATATCTGCCTCCTTCACTACAAAATTATGATTCACTTCTAAACAGTTCTGTCTTAGGCACTGAATGAAGAAGGGACCTGAGGAAAAAATAGTATGTGATTATCTAATTAAAGGCTATATCAAAATGCATATGCACGAGGGGCATAATTAAAGTTTCTTAGACAAAGTTAATTCTGGTGTTTCATACTGTGAATACTTGACTTTGCAAATTTAATATTCACTTCACATACATTTTATGTGTGTAATTTCCTAAGTTTTAAAAAAAACCTTAACATCTCATCTCCAGAAATTCAGACCTATGACATAATATTAACACCTCCCTGGTTCATCAAGAGAGCTGGAATCTGTAGATTGACTGCACAGACTTCTGCTACTGAAGTTAATGGAGTAAACTGGAGGATAGGACACTTTGTCAAAGGGACTCTCAGATATTTGAGGTCAGCAGAAGAACGGTAAGAAAGGAATTTTGGGCTCCTTTTCACCCCCTAAATGAATGCAGACTCTTCCCCCTGTTCCTCTAAACTTGACCCCTTTTCCTTGTTCCCTGTTTCCAATCTATCCCTATCTCAGTCTTATCTCTTCCCCCATTCTATGCACTATGACTCCCAGTCTCTTTGCTGAACCAGTACTGGCCTCCCAAGAGGCTTCCAGTCTCAGTCTCTTCTGTCCTTGTTCCCAGCCCATCTCTGCCCAGACAGTCACCATTTCCCTCTGTACTTTCTGTCCCAATCTCATAAGAACATAAGGATGGACATACTGGGTCAGACCAAAGGTCCATCTAGCCCAGTATCCTGTCTGCCGACAGTGGCCAGTGCCAGGTGCCCCAGAGGGGGTGGACCGAAGGCAATGATCAAGCAATTTGTCTCCTGCCATCCTTCTCCAGCCTTTGACAAACAGAGGCCGGGGTACCATTCCTTACCCCCTGGCTAATTGCCTTTTATGGACCTAACCTCCATGAATTTATCTAGCTCTTTTTTAAACTCTGTTATAGTCCTAACCTTCATAGTCTCCTCTGGCAAGGAGTTCCACAGGTTGACTGTGTGCTGTGTGAAGAACTTTCTTTTATTAGTTTAAAACCTGCTACCCATTAATTGCATTTGGTGTCCTCTAGTTCTTATATTATGGGAACAAGTAAATGATTTTTCTTTATTCACCTTCTCCACACCACTCATGATTTTATATACAGCCGGTCCCTAAGTTGCGAACGGTTAACTTACAACCGTTCACATTTTCGACCAAAGCTGTTGTAAATGACGGACCCCAAGTTACAAATGAGATCCGCGCTTACGAACAGCGCGGTCGCATGTAATTCTATGGGATCCGACTTACGAACAAACTGAATTACAGGTCAATTGCTTGGTCCGTAACTGGTTCGTAAGTAGGGGAGAGGCTGTACCTCTATTATATCCCCCCTCAGTCTCCTCTTTCTAAACTGAAAAGTCCCCGTCTCTTTAGGCTCTCCTCATATGAGACTTGTTTCAACCCCCTAATCATTTTAGTTGCTCTTTTCTAATGGAACCTTTTCTAATGCCAAAATATCATAGAACTATCCACGATAACACCAAGATCTTGTTCCTGATTAGTTGTAGCTAAATTAGCCCCCATCGTATAGTATTTATAGTTGGGGTTATTTTTTCAAATGTGCATTACTTTACACTTATCCACATTAAATTTCATTTGCCATTTTGTTGCCCAATCACTCAGTTTGGTGAGATCTTTTTGAAGTTCTTCACAGTCTGCTTTGGTCTTGACTATCTTGAACAGTTTAGTATCAACCGCAAACTTTGCCACCTCACTGCTCACCCCTTTCTCTAGATCGTTTATGAATAAATTGAAGAAGATTCAACTCTTTTCCCAGTCTATTCAGTTCTCTCTATTTTGAGCGATCCTGGGCGAGTGTCTCCCAAGTGTCAACATCAATGTTGCACCTCTTTAAGTTATCCTTTAGGAAATTCTTATAACGCTTCTGTTGTCCTCCCACATTATGGTATCCTTATTTCAGTTGAGAAAACAGGATCTGTTTTGGGAGGTGATGGTCTGGCATCTGAACAACATGACCAGTCCAGCCAAGTTGCTGATAGATGGTCATTGTCTCAATATCAGTGGTCTTTGCCTCTTCCAGAACCCTGATGTTAGTGCGCCCGTCTTCCCATTTGATCTTCAAGATCTTTCAGAGTCAACATTAGTGATATCCCTCCAGGATTTTCAAATGATATCTGTAGGTTTTCTAGGTTTCAGACCCACACAATAGCATTGAGAGAATGATGGCTTGATAGACAAGAAGTTTGGTGTCTGTTTGAATGTCATGATCTTCAAAAACCCCTGTGCTATAAACAAGCAAAGGCTGCACTAGCTCAGCTCAGATGATGTTGGATTTCTACATCAATATCTGCCTTGGATGAAAGAGAACTTACAAGGTAGGGAAAATTATTAAAATTCTCCAATTCCTCCAGTAAATTATAATATTAGATTATCTGTATGGATAATGCAATGTATTTTACAAATACTTATGGGATTTTGTCTAAACTGTGATTTGGGCAGCAATCAGTATTGGGATGTTTTCTTAGGGTATGTCTACACTTCCACCTGGAGGTGTAATTCCCAGCTTAAGGAGACATACCTGTACCAGCTGTCATCAAGTTAGCATGCTAAAAATATAATGTAGCTGCAGTGGTGGAAGCCTTGGTTGGCTGAATACAGAGGGGTACATGCTTACCTCATTCACTGCTCATGGTGTCACTGTTGCAGCTACCCTCTATTTTTAGCACAGTAGCTTGATGAGAGCTAGCAAAAATATGTTTCTTTGAGCTGGGAATCACACCTCCACCTGCAAATGTAGACACACTGTAAGTTTCTTACTGCTGCCTTTTTTATTTGTGTTTGTATCCCCAAAGAAAGGAGCTGATTTATTTGAGGGATATGGTAAAGGTATGAATAATTTATTCATCTATTTGAATAGTTTGAACAAACATTCGCACAGCAACATTCTATAGAGAATGTAATCTATGAATAGACTCTGTTGATAGCCCAGCAGAAAGAGTATTACAATAATTTAAATTTGAAGTAATAAAGAAATGAAATAGTCTCCTTGGCAGTATGAGTGTGAGCAGCATGCTCTGGGAGTGCTCCTAATGTAGCAGAAAGAACATTTGGAGGCAGATTTAATATGTTCCTACACACAGAACTCCCAGTCAAGGACTTTTGTTAGATGATACTGAAGTAACACTTCAGCTGTTAAGTGGTGAGGGCAGAACAAAGAAGGAAAAAAGGGCTTGGTAAATGTTTGGGACCAAAACAAAAAATTCTATTTTATCTGAACTGATTTTTAAAATGTCATTCATCTAAATACCAAGTTTTGAGACACGCATATTGATGAATATTTAATGATGCTCAGTGATATTGTTATTGAAAGCTGAAAAACCACGATAAAATAAACCAACATATTCAAATAGCATCAAAAGGAACCATATACGAATTAAGCAATATCATACCAAAACTGAAACCTAGGGAAATACTATCTATTTTAGACATTTATAATGCTCCTATTATTATAGTTTCTGAACACCTTATAATCTTTCTGTATTTATCTTCATAACATCCTTGCAAAGTACTGTTACCCCATTTTACTCATGGGGAATTGAAGCACAGAATGTCTTGCTCAAGGTCACAGAGGATACATCTACACTGCAACACTATTTTGAAATAACTAGTGTTATTCTGAAATAACTTAGTCCGTGTCTACACAGATGTCAGTTATTTCAAAATAGTGTTAAAATACTGCCAAGCTGGAGGACTTCTTACTCCGAATCCTGTGACCCTCATTGTATGAGGAATACGGGAAGTTGGAGGAAGAGTGCTCTATTTCAAAATAAGTGCTGTGTGGATGCTCTCTATTTCAAAATAAACTATTTCGAAATAAGGTACGCAATTGATGTAGCTCAATTTGCGTAGGTTATTTCAAGTTAAGCCCTGCAGTAGATCTACCCAGAGATGGCCTGTGTCTGAACAGGGACTTGAATCTAGGTTTTTTTTATATAAGCCAGTGCCAGAAACACTCGACCATTTTTTATAATCTTTAAGGAGTCTTAGTAGTGGTAGGGTATGTCTATATAACAGTATTTCAGAATAACTGGCATTGTTCTGAAATAACATAGTCTGCATCTAAACTACAAGCAGTTTTTTTGACATGTCAAAACAATGGTCAGCTGGAAGATTTCTTACTCCGACTCCTGTAACTCTCATTTTATGAAGAGTAAGGGAAGTTGAAAAAAGAGTGTTCTTCCTTCAACTTCCTACTGTGTGGAAAGTACCAAAAGCTGAAATAAGCTATTTTGACTTAAACTACGCAATTAACGTAGCTGAAGTTGCATACCTTAATTTGGCTTTAGCCCTGCTGCGTAGACATGCCCAAACATGTAATCTATCCTCTGATAAAACTTTCATTTTTGTAAGAGTAATAACTGAGGGATTCGGCCCACAGGTGAAAACAATGGAGTGTTGAGTTCCAATAGTGACTTATGACAAGATATATTAAGAGCATTATTGTTACTATACAAGATCAAACTTGATGGATATTGTGGAATAGTACCCTAAAAATACAAGAATTAGGCTATTTTAATTAGTATGTACACATCTAATCACCATCATCACATACCCAAAATTATGTTATTAGAGGCCATTTTATTCTGAAATGTATTTACCCAGTGTTGCTTGGGTCCTTAACTCAATTTCTTTTTTAAGAAAGGTATGATAGGGATGCCAGGTTTAGTATGCAGGCAGCCACAGGGGGTAGGTCTACGCTACAAAGTTAATTCAAACTAACAGGCGTTAGTTCGAATTAACTTTGATAGGCGCTACACATACAAACCGCTACTTCGAACTTTATTCGAACTAGCGGTGTGCTTAATTCGAACTAGGTAAACCTCATTCTACGAGGACTAACGCCTAATTCGAATTAAGCAGTTCGAATTAAGGGCTGTGTGGCCACTTAATTTGAACTAGTGGGAGGCTAGCCCTCCCCAGCTTGCCCTGGTGGCCACTCTGGGCACCACCAGGGAAACTCGTCTGTCCCCCACCCTGCCCTGGAGCCCTTAAAGGGGCATGGTCTGGCTACGGTGCCCGTGCCAGGTGCAAGCCTGCCACCACCCAGCCAGCAGACCCTGCACCTGGCATGGCACGAGCCAGCCACCCGCTGCCACCCAGCCCTCCGCCTCTTCCCGGGCCCAGGCTGGCGGCTCCCGGGAGCCTGCCCAGGTCCGCAAGAGGTGGGCGCCCGCTTGGTCTAGTGCGGACATCGTGGACCTCATCCACGACCTCCGCACTAGGCACAGGAAAGTGGCCATCTAGGGCAGGATAGCTGCCAG